GTGGCTGCAGACTCTGAACAATTAATCATTTAGCTCAGATAGGTCACCTAGTTCATTTTTCAATTTCTTTTTCGATCCCACATGGGTTCCAACTGGAGAGGGGATTCGTGAAGCAAAAACAAGGGTCGGTGATTGGGGGTGTGTGCAACTCCCTCCACCACCACCTCAAAATAAAAATAGAGACAAATGGTTAAACAGAGAGAAATCGAGACCTGAGATTTGGCTAGTTAGTTGGGTGTTTCTATTCCAAGCCCTTCGGTCAACCTGAACTTCACTGCAATTCAGTTTGGGTCGGCCCTGTGGAATCAGACACTTTTAAAGCATTGCCTTCATCTCGAAAATTGGGGCACGGGGAGAACAGAATTCTTATAAAACTTCTGCAATTGAGACGTTGAGAAAGGATCTTCTGGATTACCAGACCAAGGGACATTCAAGGGAGCTCTTCAAACCCTTGAAAATGAAGATTCAACTGAACTTCTGTGGTGATTCTCAGTCATTCAAGTCACGCTTGGCCCAAAGATGCTTTTTCAAGACTTTGTTTCTTCTTGAAGATGTTTTGCTTCTCATCCAAGAAGCAGAAGTGAAGAAGCTTCTTGGATGAGAAGCAAAATGTCTTCAAGGAAAGTCCAGCTGCCTTCTGAAAAAGCACCTTTGGGATTCAACTGGATTGACTGATTGAGTTGACTGACGTGAGTTGACTGAACTGGTTGATTGAGCAACTTGAATGAACAGCATCTTCGGACTGAATTACAACCTTGATTCAATGTTTCCGATGGAACTGAAGTCAAATCAAATTAAATCACAACGTTACGTTGGAGGTTGGCTGATCTTCCCATCTCTGCACCTTGTTCAGAATCAGGTGTCCTACCACCACATGAAAGCCAGCCGGATGACTTTGGGCCAATTTCCAGGAGACCATGAGTTCTAGTTCCACCTTAGGCATGAAAGCCTACTGGGTTACTTTGGGCCAACCCAAGGACTAGAACTCACAGTTGGTGAGGAGATGGTGAGTTTTAGTCCTGCCTTAGGCATGAAAGCTGGCTGGGTGCCTTTGGGCCACTGTCTCTTTCTCAGTCCAACCCACTTCACAGGGTTGTTGTTGTGGGGAAAATAAGAGGAGGATGGATTATTAGGTATGTCCCAAAGGTGTGTTTTCCAGAAGCAACTGGACTTTGTCGTTTTTCTTGGAAGACCTTTCATTTCTCATCCAAGAAACTTCTTCAGTTCTGATTGGTGGTAGGGAATGGATAACCATGATCTGGATGACTAAGAATCTCCATGGAGTATTCGGTATATTTGCTGCCTTGAATTACTCACAATAAAATAAATAAAGGCAGGATATAAAAAGAAATCTAATAAAATGTAGGGTACAAAATAAGTAAATAAGGGATTTAACAAACATTAGAGGCCACAATTTCAATTTCATCACTAATTGCTTGGGAATAGCTGTACGGATAGTTTCGAATCTGAATATTATTTTTAAGCAATAAGCAAAGCATAAGCATCAGGAACTATGTTTAGCACAGTATAAATTCCAAAATAAAATCATGAACCACAATAAATTCTATGCATACCAATAAAAGTCTATTCGAATGCAGAAATCCTAGTATGCTGAAATATAGACTTGGGGCAGACAGAAAGCCAGTTTTTTGGGGGAGCCCAAAAGAACCCACTGCCAGCCTTTTTGTAAGGGTTGTTGTGGGGCCTTCTTGGAAACTTTTCCTTTTGGAAGCACTGAGACACTTTGTGCTTCTTTTATTCAGAAGCTGTCCTTGGATGGCCTTCCATAAATTAGCACACATGGCTATGGTACCCTAAAGACAAATGGGTGGGAAGACCTTTGCCAGCCAAATGTCTCTGCATTCAATTCCTGCTGAAGGCAGGAGAACAAGGCTAAAAATAGAGGGAGTGACAACTCTTCCAGTCAGCTTCAAACTATCAAGTGAACTGTCTTCAAATTGGTATTCAGAGTCATCTTAAAACAGTTGCAGATGTGATGGGCCCTTTTTGCCAGGTCAAACTCCAGAAAAATCTGGAAGGGTATTGCATTCTTCCTGAGAGTCCTATGTTCTTTGATGAGAAGAGCTGGCCTCAAAAATCCTTCCTTCCATCCATCCCCTCGACCTTTCTTTCTTTCTTTCTTTCTTTCTTTCTTTCTTTCTTTCTTTCTTTCTTTCCTTCCTTCCTTCCTTCCTTCCTTCCTTCCTTCCTTCCTTCCTTCCTTCCTTCCTTTCTTCCTTCCTTCCTTCACCGTCAAAGTCCACCTTTTTTATCCCTTGTTTTGGCCTCCTCAAGACTGTGCTTTTCTTGAAAAAAAAAAAAGGATTTTTACAGCACATAAATCCATTTCCACCTCTACAGGTGAGAAAGTCTCAACTCTTTACCTGTCAGGAACTAATTCTGATCTACAAGTAGCTTGATGTAAATGAGTCACAGCACAATCTCTTCCTGCTAATGAGAAACCAAGCGCAGAAACCAATAGAAGGGCAGTTCAGTACCATGGAGAGCTCTCCAGGGGCAGCTCACTTTAAGAAGCCTGTGGCCATATAAGTAGGAGTCCTTCCTCCCTCCCTCCCTCTCTCTCCTCTCCCCTTGTCCTTCCTTCCTTCCTTCCTTCCTTCCTTCCTTCCTTCCTTCCTCCTCCCTTCCTCCCTTCCTTCCTCCCTCCCTTCCTCCCCCCTCCCTCTCTCTCCTCTCCCCTTATCCTTCCTTCCTTCCTTCCTTCCTTCCTTCCTTCCTTCCTTCCTTCCTTCCTCCCTTCCTCCCTTCCTTCCTTCCTTCCTCCCTCCCGCAACTTTAAGAAAGATTTGTGACCATCCCCAATGCCTTTGCAAATGGGATTCGCCAATATTTTTCCCTTCGCATTTTCAGGTATCAATCCAGACATTGGAAGATATCAAATTGATCAAGACAAAACCAGAAAGCATCTTGCATTCCTGAAATCTAATTTCACCCCTGGTTAAGTCGATGTTGGTAGCTTTCGTTCCTGTCTGTAACAGGCAAGAATATACTGTAGTTGACATTTACCTTTGTTCCAATCCAACCTATTCTCATTCTTGTTTGTTTGTTGTTTGTTTGTTTTTAAAAGCCGGTGAAGAGCGTCGGAGACTTTTGTTTGGACTGCATGATTAAATAAGCTGGCCTAATTGTAAATATGCAAATCAGAACCGCGATGCTCCAGATTGCACACGAGTCTAAATTTTGCAGCACAACCTGAAACACGCACAATAAAATGTCTGTGTAAGGAATAATCACCTGGAAGAAAACATGCCTATCCACTAGAGGTAGTAGGGACAGTTGTTCGCAACAAGAAATGCAAATGGTTTGCAGGGGGTGGTGGAGGGAGGGGGTTTAAGTCCAACTGCTGTGAAATTTCTGTCAAACCTGTTGTGTTAGTTCTTTCATCGTTGTATCCCTTTTCATTTTCGCCCTGAGATCACTGGGTAAAAATAATCATTCTTGAGAAGAGGTCCTTTCAACATTTCTTCCCCCCCCCCCCCCATGCCTGGATCTCTGCCCAGACTTATTTTGGATTATTTATTTATTTTTAGATTCAATGGACTTTGTCAGAATTCCAGCTGAGGAGGTGGACAAGCTCTTGAAAATTCAGAGGTATGGGCAGCCGGAATGAAAAATGAGAAGACTCGAATTCACCGTGTTGGCCTAAAGATTGATGTCAGATCAATTGTGGGTCCTTCAGAATTGGTGGAAGCTCTTCAAATTCTGTTGGCTTTTACTCAACCTTTCTGAGTTTGGTCACTCTCTTTTTCCTTAATTTTGAGCAAGAAAAAGAGTCCACTACTACTACCACAATCACAAGTCTTATACATTTCACCCCTACCCCCCAAAAATGGGTTAATCTTACTGTATCTCAGAAACGAAGTGGAAAATGACACAGGCGGGTGGACTGCCAGGCATCAGTTTTGGAAAAGACAATGGAAGGAGAGAAACGAAGAAGAAAAGTTATGATTTATTTTGAGTCAAGGCAGATTGAAAGAAAGGCAAGTTAGGTTCTTGGAAATGGTTGGCAAACTTAGAATGATTCCCATTCGCATTTCAGTCCCTCATTTGTGGGGTACCTGGTGCTCTCTGATTGGACGAGAAGTGAAACATCTTCAAAGAAAAACCAGAAAGTCCAGTTGCCTCTTGGAAAAGCACCGTTGGGACAACCTTGACCTGGATGATGGAGAATCTCCATAGACATTCTCCTGCTACTCCTCCATCTTGTTGAAATCATGGTCTCCACGATAGCAGAAACGGGGAGAAAAAGTGATATCAAGAGATGAAGAACTTCTGCTGCTGGGATAACTCAAGGATCCTTGTCCGGAATATAAATGAATGCATTAAAGCCCAAATGCAACAATCTCTGCTTTAAGACGGGAGGCCAAAACAAATAAATACATAAATAAATAAAATCAGAAAGGCAGCTCCATCAAAGGACATTCATTGTGTCAGCTACTCAGGAAACATCGGACTTTATGTTCATCGGGGGGAAATTGTCAACGTGCTCTTAAAATAGTCATAAAATTGGTAGGTTGCTACCCAAGTGTACACAGCACAATGGGGAGTCCGAATGGTACTGTTGGGTGATTCAGTGGAGACAAAGGAACTTCAGGGCCCCTTCCTTTCCCGAGGACCCAGACAGACACCTGGCTGTATGAATAGATGTTGACATTCAAAGGATAGCAGGCTTTGAAAGGAGAACACAGACAGACAGAGAGAGGCAAGCAACCATTAAGATCTGCCACGGAGTACATTGGCGAGGGCACCTGAAGAAAAGGAAGTTTGAAAGAGCTTCTCATCTAGCTATATTTGGAGATATTGATGTTCCGAAATGAAAGAGGGATGATTTCAGAGGTGGTATTCAGCTGGTTCAGACCAGTTCTGGAGAACCTGTAGTGGAAATTTTGAGTAGCTCAGAGAACTGGCAAATAGCCTCTCTGACTGGCCCTGCCCCCATCTCTTCGTTGCTTCCCATCAAGACCCAGCTGATCGGCTGGGTCTTCTTTGGTTGCTCTGCACAGGAGAACGGAGCTGGAAAGCAGGTTAGTGGGGTCGGGAGGGAATAAGCATTTTGCAGTATCCTTCTCCCAGGGTTGGGGAGGGAATGGAGATTTTGCAGTATATCCTTCCCCTGCCATGCGCACCAAGCCACACCACACCCACCAAGCCATGCCCACAGAACCGGTAGTAAAAAAATGTGAATACCACCACTGGATGATTTGGCTGGCTATGATTTGAAAGTTCTTGGGTGATCCCCTACAGTAGCATTTCTCAACCTTAGCCACTTTAAGACGTGTGGACTTCAATTCCCAGAATTCCAGTGCAAGAGAGATCACATCTATTTATTCTTCTATCTGTGTTGTTCAACCTTGGCTACTTTAAGATGCATGGACTTCGACTCCCAGAATTCCAACGTCAGAGAGAACATATCTATTTCATCTTCTAGATCAGTGTTTCTGAACCTCCAGACAACTTTAAGAGGTGTGGACTTCAACTCCCAGAACTCCCCAGACACTATGGGGAAAACGTCAACCAGCTGGGGAACTCTGGGAGTTGAAGTCCACACCTCTTAAAGTTGTCTGGAGGTTAAGAAGCGCTATCCTATACCCCTGGCTTCTGCATAACGAATAGCAATAGCTTCCATGGAACAAGAGAGCTAAAGCTACACCCAAATGGCCTTTCTGAATTTCTAGGGCTGAGAAAAGAAGATTTCACAGGAATTGGATGAAGGATTTCCCTTGTTGTTAAGTAAATGTAAGAGCACTCTAATTCACCCAGGAGAATTTTATTGATAGTCTTCTTGGAGAGGCATTTCAAAAGTCCATTCTCTTTCATCAACTTGGATGAAAACAGGGAGCATTAACCTACATTTTGCAATATCACAACGGAGTGTTCTTCTGTGGCTCTTGATGTGTATCGCTCTTCTAGTCTGGGGACTCATTTCCCCCCTGCTGGGGTATCTCAGCTTTAGAGCTAAGACAAGGAGCAGAAGTGGGAGGATGTCACATGTAAACCAACAAGTGGTGAATTGTGGAGGTTGAAGTGAAGAACATCTAAGGAGGTTCACCCCCAAGAAGTGACCTGCATTTTGAACCAGCACAACTTGTCAAGGTTGTTCCATCAGACAAGAAGGCATCACGATTAGGTTTTTACATCCCTCGCTTTTCGGGATCCTGCTGGGTTTTTCTGCTCAAACCTGGTGACAGATTTGTGATAGCCGAGTGTCCCTGGGCTCCCACTGCACATGGCAACACGTAGAATGAAATTAATCAGACCTCGTTTCTGATCAGATGCAAACGAAATTAGAATTCATTCCAGGCTCCCACTTCATATAACTTTTTTATTATAATGTGACAAAAACCTGGAGACATCCTCTCTGGGAGTCAAACTGATTGTGATTGAGGGCTGAACAGAAAAGCGGAAGGTCACCTCACCCCGAGTTCAAGATTGGCTCTTGGCTACTCCTAAAATGACCCCTTTGGATGGAGGATTGCTCTCTGTAAAGCTGGACAGGAGGTCACCCCACAAGTGACTTATCCAGGGCTTCCTCTTGATTCTGTTGAACAGGACTTCTAATTGCTTAAGCCACAAAGACTTCCTCTGAGATTATGAATCGGGGTTCATCATTCAGAAGAACTATTACTTCTAAAGTGAGATGCACTGAACCACCACAGTGGAATTAAAATGCCAATCTCAGTGGTTCTATCTAGTTTTTTCCCCCATTTGTACCCTACCCGACTTGATCTCCATATCATTCCATCATCTGGATGGATTCTGTTGGATGAATGTCCTCTTAGTTTGACATCTAGGGCCAGACTTGACCACTGCAAGCAGATCAGGAGGCTCAACATTATTTACACGGATGATCTCACTGACCTTGGGAACAATATTAACCATCCCTTGAGCAAAGATAACCAGCTTTCTTTCATGTTTCCAGATGCAACCCTTTGTTAATGTATCTCTTCTTCTTACGGAGGAGCCGGGAGTGATCTAGTTGCCCAAGGGCAGATGTTCACATCATAGCAAACCAACAGAATGATTGACGTTAATTGTGAGAGCGCTTGGCAGTTTTCCACAAAACGGCTAAACAGAGAATAATTTGCGAGCTGTCCAGATAGATCCCTTGAAGGACTGGATGGGGAAAGATAGTTACCATAATCCAAGCAAGAGCAAGCTGTGGTTCATATTCCTGCAGATGCTCCTTGCGAGCCTGGCATTGATCAAGTGGCTCTTAAAAGGAGTTGTGTTAAAAGTGAGACAATTGGGAGCTGAAGTATTGTAACCCCGTCTTCTAGGTTAGAGGTAGCCCATGTAGGTAGCGGAGTTAAATGGGTCATCGGCCTAGAGTCTTTACGTTACCACAAATAGTCTAAGTCTAACTTCTAATGAATTTAATTGATTCTTAGTTGGTGCCAATTTATTAATTAACCAAATAACAGTGATGGAAGGGACCTTGGAGGTCTTCTAGTCCAATCCCTAACTCAAAAAGGAAATCCTATATCATTTTGGACAAATGGCTGTCCAATCTCTTCTGAAAACGTCCAGTGTGGAGCACCCACCACTTCCGAAGGCAAGCCGTTCTTCTGATTAGTTGTTGTCACTGTCAGGAAATTTCTCCTTCTCCATATAGTAAACTTCTCCATATTGCAAACTTCTCCATCTAGTAAACATGATTGCACCCCGCATAGTTAATCCTTCTTTTTTTTTCTTGTTCTGCCACAATGACAATGGGAATATTTTGAAGGGATTCTCGTGGAAGCATTTTGCTCCACGGTGCGTTTTCAAGTTGGCCCGGTCTATTTTATGGAGATGTTTTAATTAACCACCCTGGGGGGACAGCTTTCTAGGAGAAGCCAATATTTCCAACAAGATCATATTTGATGCTGAAGAAGAAATTATTCCAAGATGATGGGAAGACACCAAGAGAGCAAGACAATGACAGCGTGAAGATAGAAGGAGGAAATTACGCTACGGGGAGCTTTATGTTTGATATAAAACTTGTGAGACAAGGCAGTGATTAGAACCAGAAAAATAAGCTTTGTTCAACAGGGGATTAATAGCAGACTACAGAGTGGGTGGCCAAGCTGTAGCAAAGATGCCAGAAGCAACAGAGGCAAGGGAATTCTGGGAAAGTCTCCAGCTGGCCTTCTTTCCCTCCCCCAATTGCTGTCATGTCATGTCAACTCTTGAGGCGATCACATAGCAAAACCTTTTGGGGTAATGTTCTGTCTCCAGTCTGGGTCTTAACTGTTATTTTCTGGAAGTTGAAGTCCACAACTCTTAAAGGTGTCAAGGTTGGATACCCATGTTTAAAAAGGTTTTATGATTTTTCTTTGGGTTTTTTTTTTAGGCTAATACAAAGGAGGAGGAGGAGGAGGAGGAGGAGGAGGAGGAGGAGGAGGAGGAAAAGGAGGAGAAGAGGAAGAGGAGGAAAAGGAGGAGGAGGAAGAGTAAGGAGGAGGAGAAAGAGGAGGAGGAGGAAGAGGAGACAGTAGAGGAGGAGGAGGAAGAAGAGGAAAAGGAAAAGGAGGAAGAAGAGGAGGAAGAGTAAGGAGGAGGAGGAGGAGGAGAAGGAGGAAGAGTAAGGAGGAGGAGGAGGAGGAAGAGGAGACAGTAGAGGAGGAGGAGGAGGAAGAGGAAGAGGAAAAGGAGGAAGAAGAGGAGGAAGAGTAAGGAGAAGGAGGAGGAAGAAGAGGAGGAGGAGGAAGAGGAAGAGTAAGGAGGGGGAGGAAGAGGAGGAGGAGGAAGAGACAGTAGAGGAGGAGGAGGAAGAGGAGAAGGAGGGGGAGGAGGAAGAGGAAGAGGAGGAAGTGGAAGAGTAAGGAGGAGGAAGAGGAGATTATAATTAATTGTAATTTGTGTAAATTACAACTTACAAACCACTATGGATGGATGGAATCACAATTCAGGTAGTCTTTGTAACAGTTCATTTAAAAAAAGGCATTGATTAGAACCAGAAAAATAGGCTTTGTTCAATAGGGGATTAACAGCAGACCACAGATTGGGTGGCCAAGCTGTAGCAAAGATGCCAGAAGCAGCAGAGGCAAGGGAATTCTGGGAAAGTCTCCAGCTGGCCTCCTTTCCCACCCCCAATTGCTGTCATAAGTTGAGGACCAGCTCTATCTGGTTTTCTTCTTTTCCCCAGTTTCCATTCCTCACTTTTTTTAAAAAAAGAGAGAGATGAATTAACGGGTGAGGGCTACCGAAGAGAAGATTGTGGAGGAATGTGCTATAAATATTTACATAAGCACATCTCTAGGGTTACATTACACAGTTCTATATCGCGGCGAACATGTGGGCCATTCTCCTAAAACTGCTTGCAAAACGGCATGATTTTTCACACGCCAGATGAAAGTATGAAAAAGTGGGGGGGGGAAGGAAATTCTCCACCTGTTTAAGATTTGCCTTATTTCACCAGGATGTTTTTTTTGCCAGAGCACAATAAAACATGCCGAGAGTATAGCTCGAATAGCTCACCCGTGAGGGCTTTACTCCCGCCACCCATGAAATTCAGACAGGTAGTCCACATTTAATGATGGTTCAAAGACACGGTAGCTGCGGAGAACGTGATTTGCAACCTGTCCCCACAGGTACAGCTGTCGCGTCATCCACAGGGCCATGGGATCGCAATTCGGGTGCTTGGCACCCGCCTTGCATTTACAACAGTGGGAGCAACATGCAGAGGTGGGATTCAGCCGGTTCTGACCGGTTCTAAAGAACTGGTAGTGGAAATTTTGAATTGTTCGGAGAACCGGCCAATCCCACCTCTGACTGGCCCCGCCAACCCCATCTATTCTCTGCCTCCCATTGAGTCCCAGCTGATCGGCTGGATCTCCTTTGGTTGCCCTGCACAGGAGAACAGAGCTGGAAAGCAGGCTAGTGGGGTGGGGAGAGAATGGGGGTTTTGCAGTAACCTTCCCCTACCATGGCCACCAAGTCATGCCCACCAAGCCATGGCCACAAAATTGGTAGTAAAAAAGTTTGAGTCCCACTACTGGTCACATGATCACAATTTGTTACCTTCCCAGCTGTTCTGTCTCATCTATCTCAAACCCCTCTCCACCACCCATGGAAGAATCGATCAACTTAAGACTACAGGTAATCCTTGACTTACAACCACAATTGAGTCCAAAGTTTATGTTGCTAAATGAGGGTACAACTTTTTTTGTCACAGTAATCACAGTGTAGAGCAGGGGTGTCAAACTCATGTTGTCATGGTGGCATCACGTGATGTAATGGGACTTTTTTCTCCTTTGCTAAACTGTAGGCCAGGAGTTTGACAGCCCTGGTGTTGAGTGTAGAGAGTAAGAGAGTAGAGTAGAGTAGAGTAGAGTAGAGTAGAGTAGAGTAGAGTAGAGTAGAGTAGAGTAGAGTAGAGTAGAATAGAATAGAAGTAGAGTAGAGTAGAGTAGAGTAGAGTAGAGTGGAGTGGAGTGGAGTGGAGTGGAGTGGAGTGGAGTGGAGTGGAGTGAAATGGAATGAAATGGAATAGAATTAGAGTAGAGTAGAGTAGACTTTATTTTCACTTTAAATGTATATTAATCAGCATACTTTAACATGATATTTTGTTGCAGTCAGCTCTTGAAAGATAACCCTTATGCATATACTCACTTACACACACATATATGACACAGAAAAACATTACAGTCTAGTTCAAATATATACATATACATGGCAGAAAAAAAAGAATCCTATGAATTTATGGGACAGATGGCACAGAATCTACTACTCCTGCAATAGATAGGTACTACTTAGACGGGAAGGCAACAGCAGACCATGTGCCTTTGGCATAGAGCCATGCTGGCCACATGATCACGGAAAACGTCTTCGGACAACACTGGCTGCCTCGGCCAAGAAATGGAGATGAGCACCACAGCCTAGAGTCAGACGTGACTGGACTGATAAATCTTCACCTTTTGCTTCTCTGGTCAATAATTCCACAGATGGTCTAACAAAGAATCAATGACCCAGCCCAGATCTCCAGTTTCAAAGCCTGGGAGGATCCTGGAACCAGCAGATCCTGGAGAAAATGACTGTGATCCAAAAGTTATGTAGAGACTTCAACTGCTCCTGCCAAACTTTTCAGTTTGATGTCTGCTTGTTTGCTCAGAGAACTTATTTTTTTTGAGGGTGGGGGGAGTGGAAGAATCCATGCTTCACTACAACTCGTCAAGTTACCTAATTTGACGTGACGTGTCCTAATGTAGTATGATCGGGCCTAATTTGATCTTATTAACTCCCATCGTAATCTATTAGCCAAACATCAGATTCCATTTGAGGAATATGCACGTGCCATACACAAGAGGCACCTTCAAATCCTGGACATTAATGGAATTCATCAGAGGTGCACCAAATTTAAACCCTTCTCTGTACAGTAAGGCAGGAAATCAGGATCGGAGGCAAATTTCTTTTTCTTTCTTTTTTTTAAAGGAGACATTGATGTCCCTCATGTCATTAGGTGAAAATGGAGGCTGTTTGATAGGGGTATAATTAGAGGAATTCTACAGCAACCTGAAACACCTTGATAAGATTAGCAAAAGACAAAAAACTCTCAAAGGGTTTTTGCCAATCTCTAAGTCATTACCCAGTGGAACGTGATGTGAACCTCAAGTAGACATTGGATGGTTGAAAACATGGATGACCTTAGTGAAATTTCCCAGAGGCCAGAAAGGGAGTCCATCCAAGGAGTATAAAACTACTGTATCCACTTTATATATTCTTGTGGAAAACTTTCAAAATCCTTCTGATGTTGCAAGGACACAAGAGCTGATATTTAGGATTTAGCGAATGGAATGCCTTAGCGTCATCTATTCTATGTTCATTCTTTTTGGACCCAAGTGACATAAAAACGCAAAGGTTAGGCACGTTCTTCAACTTGTGAACATGTTTTCCATTTCCTATTTGGTTCCTTTTGAATAGTGGGAGCCTAGAATAAAATATATATATATATATATATATATGAGTGTACTTGTTGAAGGAGGGTTGAAGTACAAGCCATGTTACATCTTTGCTTTTGCATCTAATTTGCAAGGATCTTTTGACTCGTAAAAAGGCAGGGGTGGCATGGGGTACAATGAGATGGCTTCTAATTTGTTTGCACCAATAGCAGAATTTCCTCCTGTTTCAAATAAGTTAACACTGGAAAGAACCCTCCTTCAACATGTTGACCACCAATTGGGTCAGGACTACAGTTCTCAAGGTTTTGAGAGTTGTGATTTTTTTCCCCCACACATTTGGAGTCATCGGGCTCAAGTCATTGGAGCCTGATTGACGAGCATATTGAGATTAGTAGCAGCTCCCCCAGGCTGTTTCTCCACCTTCTGGCTTTCCTTCAAGTGTGATGGTGATGAAAAATGCCAAGTCAAGAAGTGTTGCAATGAGTCAGGATTCATGTGCAATGTGATTGCTTCACAATAGCCAAGAACTGATCACACCCACAGCAGAAAAAATGCTGTGTTACAGGGGAAAATGTTATTTTAGAGCAGGGATGGGAAATACGTAGGACTAGACTTCAGGTGATTATGTCCCATGACTTTTCTGTCAACTCTTGAGACGATCACATAAATAGATCTTTTGGCGGGGGGAATGTTCTGTACTCAGTCTGGGTCTCAACTGTTGTTTTCTGGAAGTGCACAACTCTTAAAGTTGCTAAGGTTGGATACCCATGTTTTAAAGGGTTTTATGATTTTTCCTGGGGGGTTTTGGAGGAGGAGGAAGAAAAGGAAGAGGAAGAGGAGGAAGAGGAAGAAGAAGAACAAGAGAAGGAGAAGGAGAAGGAGAAAGAGGAGGAGGAAGAGGAGGACAAAGAGGAGGAAGAGGAGGAGGAGATTATAATTAATCTTAATTATAAATAATTATAATTAAGGTAGTCCTTGCAACAGTTCATTTAGTGACCATTCAAAATTATAATGCACCTCCAGCCATTTATCTGATAAATTAATAAATAATTTTATATTTTGAAAAACCAATAAAAGTCACACCATGTTTCCTCGAAAATAAGACCCTGTCTTATTTTTTTTTAGCCACCAAAAAAGGCACTGGGTCTTATTTTGGGGAGATGCCATCCACTGACTAACCTCACTTGTGCGTGTCTCGCTCCCGGCCTCCTTTTCACTGTCAGAGGCCTTAAGGAACTTCTTCTGCGTCCGGCAAGGCTTTCCTGAAGGCCTCTGCAGCCAATAACAGAGCTCTGGATCGATCCAGAGCTATGTTATCAGATAGAAGCCTTCAGGAAAATCTTGCCAGCCTTGCCGGCTGTAGAAGAAATGGGCCAACAAGACAGGTGTCGGGATACGCGAGGCCTGGCTACAACTGTCCAAAAGTAAGTAGTAGGGCAGCTCCACCACTCCTCAACCCAACTCTAGCTTAATTTTTACCTGTGCACTCTGGAATGGTGGGGATCTTAATTAGGGCTTATTTTGGGGGCAGGGCTTATATTGGGTGCACATATAAAAAATCAAAGCTAGGGCTTACTTTCAGGGTAGGTAGTATTTTGGGGAAAACAGGGTATATAACAAGATGAATTAATACATTAATTTCTGGGTTCCTGAGTTAAGCTACCTGTTTAATGTGGAAGCAAAGTCCTCTTAGGTGAACGATCAACTCAGTGGAGGAACAGAAGATGAGTGGAGAGCTGTTTTCTTCCAAATTAAATCACATTTTGCACGTTGGGTGCTGCGCTTAGCCTCTATCCCATTAAGAAGAGAATCTCTCTGGTGTCAGTGCAATGTTTTCCCCTTCTGATTAAAGCATTTCAGACAGGGAAATGTGGATGCATTTTTCTGATTTGTGGAAGCCTGGAGGGAATAAAAGAAAGCTGCTTTCTTTCATACGTTGTTTCTGGTTTCTCTTACCCAACTGCCAAAAATCTCATGCCTTATCGGAACTACGAAATGTCCCTGTCATTTTTTTTTAAGTGAATCTTGGAGATTTGGCTCTTTTCCCAGGTCCTGGGATGAGAAGTTCTCTGGGGATTAGTATTTCTGGATTTAATATTTATAAATATGTGTGTAGTGTGTGTGTTGTGTGTGTGTGTGTGTGTGTGTGTACATGGACCTGACAATGATGATGGAACATTGCAGGCCGTAATACCGGTAGGAGTGAGAAGGAAGTTTTTTAATATCCATCCATCCATCCTTGGATCTTTCTGATTTGCACAATTTTTATCTGGCCTTCAATCTTATTGGGGTTGTTTGAATATTGTATTTTATATTTATAGATTTGTGTGTGTGTGTGTGTGTGTGTGTGTATCTGAGATTAAGGTAGAGACATACCATCCATAAGGGTGAGAAAGCAGTTTTTACGTCTGTCTGTTTATATATATATATTCTCTCTCTCTTTCATCTATTTTCTCTCTCTCCTTCTCTCATTCTCTCTTCCATCCTTCCATCCTAGTACCATTTTGATTTACACCATTTTTATCTCCTCTTCAATCTTATTGGGAATTGTGAAGATTTCAAGCTTCATTAGCTCTACCATTTCTTGGTTATCAAGGATTTTCTCGCTAATATGTTTTTTTTAAATATAGCTGTTTGTGGAGAGATATCCCCCTAACAAGTCAGATAACAAAAATCACACACACACACACACACACCCCAAAAATGCATACCCTTACAGAAAGGATCATCCATTCTTCCATCCTTGTTTTAAAACAATATAGCAAATTGAATATGAATCAGATTGTCAGATTGCATTGATTCAGGTAGACAATTCAAGAACTTTAAACTCGATCAATGATTCTGAATTGAATTAATGGTCCAAATTGGATCAGAGTCAAACTGGACACTGTCAACCCTTATCCTCTTTGGCTATGGACCTTCCTTTGCCACCCAGCCTTGCAGAAAGATTATATATGTGCCACCTCGTACAGGACACTCTCGTAATATATGTTTGCGATAAGCTTATCAAATCCCATCATTTCCTGTGCCCTCCGCTGCCCTGGGGTTGTCAGTTTTATGAGAACGGCTCTACATATGTGCGTACGAGATTTGATTGCCTTCAGAAGGCTGACCTTCAAAATCATATAGGCACGGCAGATATATCCAGATTCACATTTCCCCAAGTCTTTCAATAATAGACTCAGCTCCAAATATGTTTTTGCTTTTTTAAAAAAATGCATGCGCACACACAAACACACAAACACACTCCCCAGAGAGAGGCGGGGAGAGAGGGAGAGACAAAGGGAGGGGGAGAGAGAGAAGGAGAGAGAAGGAGAGAGGGAGAGGGGGACGGGGAGAGAAAGAGAGAGAGAGAAAAGGAGAGAGGGAAAGAGGGAGAGAGAAAGGGAGAGAGAGAAGGAGAGAGGGAAAGAGGGAGAAGGAGAGGGA